TGGAGGGGAGAAGAGGAAGACAGGATAAAGACATGCTGGGAAGAGAGAGAGAGTCATACAGGGCTCTAGACTGGAAACTAATTCCTCAATGGTGCGACTAAAAAAACATCCTCGGTCGCAGCGGTGCAACCAGCCGTTAAAAAAACTCTGAAAGTCTCCGTGTGGTCAACAGCAGACACACGCTATGCCCACATCGTGGTCGAAGCCAATCAGAGAGCGGGACCTCTGTGATTGGCTGTGGTCCAGACATTCCTGTAGGCCTACCTGTCTATACATTTGAAAGCATAGGTGGATGGACAGAGTGAGTAGGGCTGGGTTTAAAATCAAATTTCTGATTAAAATCAATTTTAACTTGAATGAAGCGACATCGATTCATTAAAACCTGAATGATTTAAAAATAAATGTATTTCACCAGAAACGCCAGAATCTCAGGTTAAAGCTCACAAAACTGTTTCAACAACCACCAAACAGCTAAAACAGGAAACACCCCCCATTAAAGTGTCACAACCAACCACCCGTGCTGAAACCGGCTTTACGGCCTGTTGTCAGTAGCAACAAACAGTAAAGCCGGTCTGCGCTATGGGCTGAACCACTGTTAATGGTGGTTGGGGGGGGGACACACTTTGTATTCAGTTTTAGGATTCATAGGCAATGTTAACTGTAGCCAGGCTAATGCTAGCTTATTTTAATCGTATGTTAAACTGGGGTGGCAAGAGATTATTGTAGGGTGGCACACGCCACCCCTGTAGATCTGGCCCTGCAACGTCTATTAGATACAGTGGTATGCAAAAGTTTAGGCACCGCTGATCATTTTCATGTTTTAACATGATTAATTTAATAACTGTAGAGGCGAAGAATAGTGAGGACAGTCTCAGTCAACCCACACACCAGCTCCAAAGACCTACAACATCATCTTGCTGCAGATGGAGTCACTGTGCATCGTTCAACTATTCAGCGCACTTTGCACAAAGAGATGCTGTATGCGAAAGTGATGCAGAAGAAGCCTTTTCTGTGTACATGCTACAAACAGTGTCTCTTGAGGTATGCTAAAGCAGCGGTCCCCAACCCCCGGGCCTCAGACCGGTACCGGTCCGTGAGAGTTGAGGCTCAGGTGTGAAAT